GACTTTGTATCCTGGCTGAAGGAAGCATTCTGTTCTGGAACCAAAATTTGTCATCAGTTTCTCTTGGAGTTTTTAAGTGGTACTGCAGCAGAACTTGGTTTTAACCATCAATGATGTGAAGTTCAACTATGGATCTGTGGCCCAAATTTTAAGATTGATGTCTAATGTTGTAATAGTTATGAACAACCTCCATACTGCTGGGTGAATACACGGAACACTGCATTTGTCTACTAGATTTCTGTGACCAAAGTCTGGGCAAAAAGCTGCTAAATTGTACATTTTAGCTCCCTAGGGAAGGCTTGAAGGCTTTTTGTTCCACTGATGAGGAGATGCACAAAGATTTTGAGTAAAACTTTACAGTTAATCCTTATTTGTTGGGGGAAGCTGTAGTGGAATACAGAAGCTTTGCAGGAATGGAGACATTTTTTAGTCACTTTTTTTCATCCAACTTTATACAAATATTTTAGCAGTAAGGCTACAGATAGAGCATTAAAGAACTTATGTGGTCTTTTTTTTTATTTCAAGCAAAAGACTGTAGAACTTGGTTTAGTGAGGTAAATCTTACTCCCTTCAATCATTAATACCTCCTTGAGACAGAAGTGAAATGTTGACTTCACATGCCTTTTTTAAAAAACACTCAGGACCTTAATGTAAACATTCATGTTTTACACAGCAGAGGCAATTAAAATTTTTTTTTTCTATCCATTTTAAAGCCCCAACATATCATCATGACCCATTTAGGCTTTCTGTTCATTACATTCTAACACAAGCCCTACCTTTTTCTGTCAGCTATCAAAATGATCCTCCCTTCCATTTTTCTTAAGAACCTGTGAAAAACTTGAAAACATTAAAACCACCTCAAAATACCTCTTATTTCTGCATTATTTTATGATTTTACCATCTTTTATTACTAATGCCTTACTGATATAATTTACATTAGAAGATCTTTGTCTTGAAGAGTTAGTTAGTCTGTTCCTGCAGCCCTGAAATTGCGTTTTTGTCTGAAGATACAATAACCAACACGTGAATCAACTAGCACATCACAGATACTGGGGAGCAGCATCAGCAGTAAGGATGTAAGTTCCAGAAAAGGACAGCAGCAAAGCTGCTGGGAGGAGCCACATTATGAAAAGTAGTCTCTTGTTGTCCATAGGTTTTCCAAATCCTTCAGAGAAGGAAGGCTGAACTTTGTCAGCTTAAAGAAGACATTTGAAAGATTCTAATAATTTTTATAAAATCAAGTCACCCAGTTAACTTGGAAACAAGTTGGTAACAGACTGTTCACCAGTTGTCTAGGACAGT